TTATTTTGACTTTTTTTCAAAGTACATTTTCACACAAGTACTTCTACTTGAGTATAATTTTCTAGTACTCTTTCCCAAAACATGTCTCGCTTAAACTATAATCTGAGATTTCTTAATAACAGTTAACTTTATTTTTCAACAAATTACATTAATAGTAAAGTATGAACTGTTGTGCTTCCGCCTGTCTGAACATGATGACTTATTATATTATCGTATTATAGAAAATAAGAGTATTATATACACAAGTTCTTTTGTCCTGGGATTAGAAACAAAGACCGGCTGTTAAACGAGAACCCGTGGTTAATCCACGCTGACATGCTTTAACAATATCAGGTCAGTACCCACAGGTCACTGGGAGATTAAAGGGTAACGTCGGCATTTCAACCTGCAGCCTGTTTCCCCATGTTTATGTGTCTAAGTGACTTATGGCAACAACAGTTTTTAGATCGGTCCAGTGTTGAAGGAGACCGCTGCAGCCGGCTGCCGCTAAACGGGCTGTGATTAAATTGTTCGGGGCAACTCAGCGTCAATGTGCGTCCACTAAAAGTACTTGTTGCTGCAACTTAAATGCTCAGATCGTTATAATAAGTGTCTTTAAAGAGAAAATCAAACGTTTGGTATTGTTTCTAACCAAGTCTCGTTCAAGGAGAAGTCTCGTTCTGAAACGGCAAGAGGGGGTTTGTTGTCTTCTTGAAGACAACGATGGAAACGTGAGTGAGAGTTGGAGATAGAAGTTGTGTTGGAGAACACAAAGCGTCGCTTATTGTTATCTAAAAGATGTTCGATGTTATGGCTGAATGTTTAGATGATTTTTAACAATGTGGATGCAATAAAAGATTTCAGAAGGAGAATTCTCCGAGCGAGATACACAATTACAAACAGACCAGATCAAGTAAAAGGTAAAGAAAGATGTTCTATTTCTCTGTAGACTTCTTTCCATAATGTTTCCCATCAGTGGCAACAATAAGCTCTTTTAGTTGACGTATATTGACGGTGAGAAGAACCCGAGCGTTTACATTACAGCTTATTTAGCGGCTGCAGCGCTCTCGTTCAATACTGGACCAACATTGTTGTCCCCGTTAGTCACTTAGACATAAAAACATGGTTAGAAAACACAGAAGCTACCCTTTAAAAACACTAAAACAGGCTGGCAGAAATATGTTCACTCAAGTTGATGAAAGGTTGCTGGTTTGAATCCCTAACTCCTCCCTGTATTCTCTCTGTGTAGTGACTTATCATGGAACAGATTGTCATCAATGAAGCCGAACTCCTTCTCTGCTCTTCCGGCTCTCATCAAACTGTGAGTAAACAGACTACGTCACCATTAACACCACAGCATCACACAGCATCACACAGTGTCTTCACTGGTTTGTAGATTCAGTGTCAACGGACTGGAAAGAGTTTTATATTGAAGTACAAGTACAAGTATGTCAAAATGACATTTGAGTAATTGTACTTCGTGACTTTCCACCTCTGTTCCATGATGTGATGTGAAGTCGTGGAAACATCCTCACATGTAAATTATTGTTATTTTATTTGTTCCTGTCTGTGCCTCTCTGCAGCGACCTGTCGTCCAATCAGCTGTCGTCTCTGCCTCTGATTGGTCTGCAGAGTCTAACTCATCTGCGATTGGCCGGAAACACACAGCTGATGGAGTTAATGCCACGAGAGGACCTGCCGCGAGTCAGGTGAACACACACACACACACACACAGAATCCTCTACTCTAATCTGTCTCGTTGTGTTTATTGGAAATGATTTAAAGGGACATTCTGCTGAACAGCAGGTGTAATGAAGTTGATTTAACTCGACAGTGTTTAGACTTAACTGGTAATGAAATTGATTCTGATACTTTTGTACTTTTACTTAAGTAACATTTTGAATGCAGGACTTTTACTTGAAACAGTTTCTTCCACATGTACATAATAAAGGTATACAAAGGGGTTTGTTTGTTTGTTTGTTCAGGGTGATGGAGCTTCCTTACGCCTTCCAGTGCTGTGCCTTCGTCTCCTGTGAGAGGAGAGGAGGAGGAGGAGGAGGAGGAGGAGGAGGAGGAGGAGGAGGTTCGTCCTGGGAGAGAGAGGAAGCAGCAGACTCTACCGGGAGAGAAACCGCCGTCCTATCCAGCCAAGGTGATGCAAACAAACACCCTCTCCAGTCGCGATACGATATTATCACACTACTCAAATGTCTGGATTTATTAAAGTCAGTAAAACTCCATCTTTGATTTCACAAACTTCCTGCTAATCCTGCAACATGTCGGTACCAGAACAACACAATCGTTTCCAAAAGGTTTCATTTGTATTTGCAATATTAATAGTTTATATAATAAAAGATACTTGGCGACTCTGCTGTATATCGATATTTGAGTAAAATGATATTTCAAAGTAAAAGTCAAAGACTCTCTCTGCTGTGTGTGTGCAGTCGATCAGGACTGGGATGATTTCCTGATGGAGTTTGAAGAAGAACCTAAACTTCAACACTCCGTCCACTGCAGCCCTGCACCAGGTACTTCAACACATGTTACATATAATACCTGAATACCTGTATGATTTGTTGACTGATTGTAAAGTAAACTGATATGTGGTTTCTTCCTCCAGGACCGTTCCGCCCCTGCCTCCATCTGCTCGGCAGCTGGTTGATCCGTGGAGGGGTGTGGCTCATCGCAGCGCTCTCATTGGTCAGCAACAGCCTGGTCGTCCTGTCGGTCTTCTTTTCCCCCGCCTCCTCAGTGACTCCATCCAAGCTGTTGATTGGTCTACTGGCCCTGGTGAACGGCCTGATGGGAGTGTGGAGCGGGTGGTTGGCGGCGGTGGATGCCTGGACGTTTGGCAGTTTTTGGAGGTACTGAACAGATTTGGGATTGTGGAGACTCTGCGAATTATTGGGACTTTGGCAATTCTTTGGATTGTGGGGACCCTAGAAAAATTGGAATCTCTTTTGGGAATCTTGAGAACGCAAAGGACTCTACAGCTGGAATATCTGGCCAATTTTGGAACAATGGGAAAATTGTGAAGTTGGGGAATGCTTGGCACTGTAGTAAAGTGCAAGAAAGTACAAAAATAAGTGTCTAATATCTTTTTTAAAGTCGCATGCTTCACTGAGAAAGAAGTAGGTAGATAATATTAGAATATACAGAATTCAATTTTATTTCCTCTTTATAACCAACGTCATTTAAAAACAATAAATTAATCGTGCAGATATTTTTGGTTTATTACGGCCTGGATCTTATTTTCATAGCTTCGTCCATCATTTCTGTTGCTGACATTGTACTCATTAAGTTAGCAGCTGAGATCTGTTAACATGGTGAATAGGTTTATTCCATCTTTCTGAACAGTTTAAAGACTTATTGTTTGGAAACAGCAGCTGATGAAATGTCAATTAATTTCTGATCTTATCTTATCTATAAAATCACTTTTATAGTCTTTATAATTTACCCTTTCTGTTAAAATTGCCAAAAAGCACTTCATAAACAAGTAATTTCAAAGTAAAAGTCAGACGTTTCTTGTCCCTTGTGTGTGTTGCAGGTACGGGGCGAGGTGGGAGAGCAGCTTCCTGTGTCGGCTCAGTGGCTTCCTGTGTGTGTTTGCGTCTCAGACCGGCCTCTTCCTGTTAACGGTCGCCGCTCTGGAGCGATGCCTCGCCGCCACCGCCGCCACACGCCGCCACAACAAACCGGACGGACACACTGGTGAGAAAAATGCACACACACAACAACATAAAAACACACACACACACACATCTGGAAAGTGTCTGATTTCACTCTCCTCTCTCTCTCCAGGTCGCTCCTCGTCGCCGCTCTCCGTCCGTCTGGCCGTCTGTCTGTGCTTCCTGTTGGGCCTGGCCGTCACGCTGCCCCCCCTGGTGGCCGGACACAGCAGCACCTCCCTCTGTCTGCCGCTGCCTTCCTCCTCCTCCTCCTCCTCCCTGGCCCTCTCCGTCTCCCTGGTGCTCCTCGACTCGCTGTGCTTCCTCCTCATGACGTTTGCCTACACTCGTCTCTACTGGCGGGCCAGCAAAGCTGCGCCCTCCGCCGCCGACGAGGAGGCAGCGTTGACTCGACACGTAGCCTGGCTGCTCTTCTCGGACTGCCTCCTCTACCTCCCCGTGGCCTTCCTCTCCTTCTCCTCGCTGCTGCGCCTCCCCGCCGCCGGACCGGAGGCGGCGAAGGGGGTGCTGCTGCTCGTGGCGCCACTGCCGGCCTGCGTCAACCCACTGCTCTACCTCCTCTTCAACCCGCTCGCCCGGCACGAGCTGGCGGCGCTCACCAAACGCACCTGCGGGGCAGCGGCGGTACCCGGACTCTGCAGGGGAAGAAGAGGAGGAGGAGGAGGAGGAGGAGGAAGGTCGAGGCCGGACATGGTGGATTCAATGTACGACGAGGACGCGGAGAAACAGTCGTGTGACTCGACGCAGGCGCTGGTGGTGGTCAGAGGCACGAAGGAGGAGGAGGAGGAGGAGAGAGGAAGACAAAAGAGCGAGACACATTTAGTTCCGTTTGTTGTTCCTCATCAATAGACTGACACACACACACACACACACACACACACACACACACAAACACGGCATCTAAAGGTCTCACCTGCCAAAGACTCACCTGAACTCGTTGGTTAGATTCAGTCTTGTCTCGTTTTTCTTTTTAGTATTTTTGGAAGAATTTCTTTTGCCTTTATTGTGTAAAACCCTCTGCAGGAGACGCCTATTATTTGGTCTCTTTTGTCCCAGATGGCCACCGTACTCTCTCTCAGATGATAGCCAATCAGATCAAAGCAAAAGGACTTCAAGGTTGCATTTAATCGAGGGTGTGTGCTTTTTAATTCCAAAAGAAAATACATGCGATAATCAACTTGAGTGAAGTATTAATTTTGATGAATTATTATAGCCGCCAGACTTTTGGCAAGTGAGTCAAAGACTTCACACACACACACACACACACACACACATGCACACACACTGCAGACTGTGTGGTAGCAAATGTAGCAGAGACGCATAAAGCTAAAAAAATAGTAAATCAAAAGATAAAAGACACAAAGATAAATGAACAAAGAAATTGTCACTGTCCAGGATTTTAACAATATCAACTCTCTGATTCGTCAAGCCAAGGCTTCATTTCAGAGTGCACACCCACACACACACACACACACACGCATTACGAGCAGTCAGCAGCTTTTATTTTGAAATATGACACGATTTACAGCACTGTGTTACCAAACATCCAACCAAATGTTCTACCAAATGCTGTTGAGCATTATGTCTGTGTGTGTGTCTGTGTGTGTGTGTATGTCTGTATGTGTGTGTATGTGTGTGTGTGTATGTCTGTGTGTGTCTGTATGTGTGTGTATGTCTGTATGTGTGTGTATGTGTGTGTGTGTATGT